TTAGCCTGATCAATGTATAGGGCTCACAGCGGGTGTGACCGGTCAACAGGAGATGTGTACTCCTCCTATCACCTGATCCCACCTCTGTAAGCCTGATCAATGTATAGGGCTCACAGCGGGTGTGACCGGTCGACAGGAGATGTGTACTCCTCCTAGCACCTGATCCCACCTCTGGTGTTTTCCAGGGGTTTGCGTTATGCCCCGTTCACGATTCGTTTTGTTAACTGGATTTCTGAGATTGATCACTGTTCGTTATCTTCACATTTTACATTTAAACCGGTCACAGTTGCCCTAGTGGTCGGGCGTTCGCTTCGTGATTGGGAGGCAAGGGTTCGTTTCTCGTTCGCCGTGCCGCGCCAAACCTAAGACGTTCACATAGGTAGTGACTGGTCCTTCGCCAAGCGCCCAGCATTGAAGTGAAAGTCAAGTGAAAGTCGGATGACACCTTTAAAAACCGAGGTCCCATATCACGGTAGACGTTGTCACGATAAAGAAACGTCACTGCTCAGTGGCCCTGAGTGCCGAGTATTGCTTTAAATTTGAAACCCTTCATCAGTAATTCTCAAATGGGACAGTGAAACATCATACAATCAACCAAAACACTTTAACTTTTAGAAGGATATTATGTAAAAGATTCAAACTTAGCTGAGTAATATTTATCAATTGAGATATGATACAAATTATTTTCTTTTTTTAAATGATATGCAATGTAGTCATTGTTATACTAAAATCTTTTTCGAAAATGTATTTCTAATGATAATATTCAATAGACCAAATCGCTGAGAAATTTGGAGGAGAAGATTCGGTTGTATCTAAGATAAAGAACGGACTCTACAATGTGAAGGTAAGAAAACAAAAGTTTGTAAAAATTCAGAATTACTGTCCATAGAAAAACAAGAGGCCCAGGTGCCACATCGCTCACCTGAGCACTTTGGCTAGGAAAAAGCAGAAATCAATTCAGTATTGAAAAGTTTAAACATGAAAGTGGTTCAGGTGGGTGGGGGTGGGGGGTATGATTTGAACAAACTTGAATCTACACTTCCTAAAGATGCTTTTGAATTATTATGACACACAATGTATTAGCTGTTCTTAAGAAGATTTTTTTTTATTGATAAATCCTTCTCATTCCTCTGTATAACTATGATCCCTGTTATGGCCCTTCTATACTCCTGGGGGGGAGGGGGGGGGGGAGGTCATGATTTGAACAAATTTGAATCTACATTACGTGGGGATGCTCTTACATTTGTCTTATTATGACCAATCATGCCTTTGCTGTTCTTGAGAAGAATTTTTAATAATTTTTCCTATGTATTCCTATGTAAACATGGTAAAACTTTGATCACCTATTGTGGCCCCACCCTACCCCCAGGGGTCAAGTTTTGAACAAAACTATATTTCACACTACTTGAGGATGTTTTCATGTAAATATGACCAATCATGGCTTTGCTGATCTTGAGAAGAAGATTTTTCAAGATTTTTTTATATGTAATTCCTATGCAAAACTTTGATCACCTATTGTGGCCCCACCCTACCCCTGGGGGTCAAGATTTGAATAAAACTATATTCCACATTACCTGAGGATGCTTCCAAATAAATATGACCAATCATGGCTTTGCTGTTCTTGAGAAGATTTTAAAGATTTTTTTTTTATATTTCCTATGTAAAACTTTGATCGCCCATTGTGGCCCCACCCTACCCCCGGGGGTCATAATTTGAACAAACTTGAATCTACACTACCTGAGGATGCTTCTGTATAAATATAAGTTTCATATTCTCTAGCTAAGATTTTTTTTAATGATGCCATAAATTTTTCACAAATTTGTAATTATCTCCCCTTTGAATAAGGTGTGGCCCTTCATTCGAACAAACTTGAATCCCCTTTACCCAAGGATACTTTGTGGCAAGTTTGGTTGAAATTGGCTTAGTGGGTCTTGAGAAGAAGATTAAAATGTGATAAGTTTACAACGATAACAATAACAACGACAAGGACGACAGCAGACAACGGACAAATTTCGATCAGAAAAGCTCACTTGAGACTTCGGCTCAGGTGAGCTAAAAAGGCCATGAGCCACTTAAGTGGCATTACTCTAATTTGTGCTGATAAATAAAGATACCTCACTGTTGATCTAAAATCAGCCAAAGATTATATTTTCAAATATTTACATTGCTGTGTTTTTCTATGAAATTAACCAACTATGAAATTAATTTGAATGCCATTTTCGTGTATACTCACGCCAGCGCTAGCGCGCTACGTGAGTTATGCCTACGTGACAAGTCTTTTGATTTACACACCAATAACTCACACGTGCACAAAACTTAAAACATTTCTTAAATATTTACATTTACTTTATGTGTGACATAACCTGCATATTGACAAAGTCTAAGGCTATTTCTATATGATTTTAACCCTCAGGAGTCCATGGCATGAATAGATGTAGAATGCATATTGATGTTATATATATTTACATTTCCAATGTCTTTGTCCGAGATAAAATAACAAATTGTGAAAATACTTTATTTCTACATAAATTTACTGGTTCATCGATAGGCCCGGTTAAAAAAAATCACGTGCGGGGCGGGACAAATAGAGACAGAAGCGGGGCTATTAGCACAAGAATTTGCAGAATCAGGAGCATGTAAATATAAGGAATAACTGTCAGATTTTTTGGATTCATGACGATGATCAATTGATTGGCTTGCGTGATAATTTTATGCATAAACGCCTTCGGCGTTTATGCAAATTATTATGCAAGCCACTCGATTGATCACATCATGAATCCAAAAAATAGACAGTTATTCCTTAAATTATATCAATATATTGATTTGAGATTACATCAATCTTTGAAAAGAAGCTAGGGTGGGTTCAAAGTCGTACGTCAAAATCTTTTTTGTGATTTAGAGTTGTTATTTTGACATATACAACACGTATTATATCGTGAAAATATATTTAACAAGAGGCCCATGGGCCACATCGCTCACCTGAACACATTGGCTAGGAAGTACAAATCAGAGCAGCATTGAAAAGTTTCTGCAAGGGGGGGGGGGGGGGGGCAAACTTACATTTACACTACTTCAGAATGCTTCCATATCAGTATTACTAATCATGTCTTTGCTGTTCTTGAGCAGAATTTTTTTCACGATGATTCCTATATATTCTTATGCAAAACTTTGACCCTCCGTTGTATATATATTTGATTATATAATACCTAAGGTTGCTTCTGTATAAATATGACTAATAATGGCTTGGTTGTTCTTGAGTTGAAATTTTTTAAAGATATTTCCTATGTAACATGTATGCTCAGTTCAAGACATACATAGGTTTTCCTTTTACTCACTCTAAGTTAATGATTGGAATGGTGATTAAGACAGCTTTGTCTGAGGGTAAATCACACAGTACTTAAATTTCCTCTTATCTAGAAACGCAGACTTGGTAAAGTACTACTTGCACCCTGTTTCTCTCCTAGGTTCCTATTTTTATTTTGCTCTTACCCTGAAGTTCTTCATTATTGATTTAACGTCCAACTTCTTCAGCTAGCTTCTGAATGCCCGACTTTTCGAAAGCTTTGTCTTAAATACATTTTGGCTGGTCCATTCCAAAGGTTGTCAGATCATGCATTTCACTATTTGAAGTCTTCAATGCGTTTTACACAAATGCCTCTTTACCATTACACCTATATATTCCTACGTAAAACTGTGACCCACTGTTGTGCCCCCCCCCCCTCTTGGCCCCGGGGTCATGATTTGAACAAACTTGAATCTACACTACCTGAGGATACTTTTGTATAAATATGACTAATAATGGCTCAGCTGTTCTTGAGAAGAAAATTTTTAAAGATATTTCCTATATATTCCTATGTTAAACTTTGGCCCCCTGTTGTGTCTGCACCCAACCCCCAGGCTTGATGATTTGAACAAACTTTAATATACACTACCTCAGGAAACTTCTATATTGATATGACTAAAAATGGCTTAGCTGTTCTTGAGAAGAAGAATTTTAAAGATGCTTCCTATATATTCCTATATGGTAAACTTTGACCGCCTGTTGTGGCCCTGCCCTACCCCCACCCCCGAGTCATGATTGGAACAAACTTGAATATACAGGACCTGATGATACATCTATAATAATGTGACTAATCATGGTTTGGCTATTCTCGAGAAGAAGATTTTTAAAGACATTTCCTAAATATTCCTATGTAAACCTTCGACCCCCTCTTGTGGCCCCGCTCTTCTCCTTGGAGTTTTGATATGAATAAAATTGAAGCTAGAGTATGTAATGAAGCTTTCACATAGTTTTTATCTTTTCTTGTCCAATGGTTCTTGAGAAGATTTTTAAAAGATACCACCAAATTTCACGAATTCTTAATTATCTCCCCTGTGAACAAACTTAAATCCCCTTCACCCAAGGATGCTTTGTAAGTTTGTTTGAAATTGGCTACTTTGCTCTTGAGAAGAAGTCGAAAATGTGAAAAGTTTTTAGACAACAGACGGACGCCGGACACTCTGATCAGAAAAGCTCACTTGAGCCTTCGGCTCAGGTGAGCTAAAAAAGGATGCTCTCGACTGATATTCCAGATGTTGTCCTTAAGGCTGGATGATCGTAATGAATTTATTAGTATTTGTAGAATAATCATGTTTTGTTTGTCATCTCCAAATATATTTTAAGAAAGTTGTGAGATTCTTTTGCTATTCCCGAACATTTCCATATGGCTTAGTTTGCCCAATAAACTGACTATTACATCTTTTCATCTGGATATCAAAATTGACATAAAATTTCTAATTGTGCATTTAAAAATGAATTTTTTGAATGTCTTCCCAACTACAGCTTTAAAACCAAGACCCCGTGTTGCGATGGATTTAGAATTGTTAAAGTGGCAATATGAGAATTGAAAAGTCATTATGATAAATTGGTTAGAGTAATCTTCACTTCAGTAAGAGTGACCTCTAGCGTCAGAAAAAATTAATCTAAGTTTGACAATGTAGAAAGTAGTTGTATCTTTCAGGTAAACAAGCTCGATGCATCAAAAGTAGAACAAGAACTAGACAAATTCGCAAAATGGGAGGAGGGCGCTGAGGTAACTCATGCAAAAAGAATCCCGATTAAGAAATTATCGGATTTCCTAGATCATCTTCTGGACACTTATAGAGACAGTGGTAAGGACTTTACCTCCCTTAGACATTTTTTTTCTTTTTGCAAAATTAGATTTACAAATCAAAAATCTTCTTTCCTTGGTCAACTTTCTCAATCTTCTATCTGTATATTTGTATTTCAATTCAAAAAGACTTGAAGGATTTGTTTGCTTGACATCCCTTCGAGAATGTTTTACATATGTTGGGATGCCACGAGCTGCAAATTTGGAACTGTACTCCTCACTTATGGCTATTGAGCAGAGAGGGATCTTTCTCGTACAGCATCTACTGTAATACGGCATCTGAAGGACCGGTCTCCACGTCCTGCAGTGGGATTCGAGCCCGCGATGTAAGGGTTAACTCCTTACTTCTCGACTCGAAAACATCTGCCCCACGCGGGAGACTGGCACTATATTCTAATGCTAGTATAGTTTAAAGTTTACTTTTGCTTTAAAAGGCATCACAGAGGCAGATAGACATAAATGGAATGGCGTAAACTATGCAGAGGAATGGACGACGAAAATTGTTGAGTGGAAATTTAATGCAGACTCAGCAGATTCATCAGGTGTCCAGGGAGCTCGATTTGGGATCGTTGGGTTCGCGAAATCGGCAGATGGAAAATACGTCGATTGTATGTTGGCAATTTACAAACTGGACTTTCGTTTGTCTCCAAAATTAGTAATTAAAGAAAATGCCATTCTTTGGGGACTTTACGTCTGGTCAACAGTCGACAAAGAGGAAATTGATAGAAGCATCAGTAGAGAAGAAATTGCGAAATTCCAAAATTTTTTCCGATACAAAGCACTGAATGAATTTAAAAAGGAAGGGGTTATTGATCAAATTTCGTATACAGATCGATTGGAATATAAATCTAAGAAATGAATTATACATGCACATCTTCAGAAAGTCATTTTTATAATACATCGACTGTTTTTTAGCAATTTACAAACTGGACTTTCAATGGTCGCAGATATTTGTTATGAAGACAACTCCTTACGTCTGATAAACAGTCAACAAGGAGGATTTATAGAAGCATCATTAGGGAAGAAGTTGCTGAAGAAGATGAACAAGCTGAGATAATGCCTCTGATTTCAGTTAACATTAATGTATAATTATGTTATGTAAAATCTCCACAATTTGCAACAATCTTACAAGTGTTAAAATTATTCGTCTATGAAATAGTATGCACAAACCAAAAAAGGGCAAAAATGATCATTCTTCCATACTTAAACTCAATTTTTCTATATAAGTGATTCTTCACTCAATTTCTTTGGAAGTAGGTCTTCAAAGCATGTTTAAAAATGTACATATTTGCTAAATGAGGGATTCTTATCATATTTATTTTATTCAAAAAATCATGAAAGTTTCACGCATTCAAGAGGACAATATCTCTAAGTGATGGTATGATTTCAGTTAAAATTGATAGTCTTATTTTAGTAGCAAGGCCAGGTCAAGCTCTTTGTTTTCCTCGACATAAAGGATTCAAAATTACCATTGTTTATCACGTTACAAGATACATGTATGGCTACTTCTATTTAAAAGGATACATGTATGGCTACTTCTATTTTAAAGTATTTTTGTTCGTCTTTTTGCATGAAAGATAATAATACATGATTTCTATCGGGTACTAATATCAAAGTGAAATAAATTAACTAAGATAAATATTAGTTAATCCGAATTTCCTCTAATTTTCTTAATTTTTAAAGGAATATCCGTTTATTTTCCATGTTTCATATATATTTAAATATTTACATCCACTGAATATTATTTCCTTTATTTCTTAAGAAAACCATTGCTGTTTTTCAGTCAATAAACACCGCTAAGCATATCACCTCTACAGATTTCTTGAGCAGCGGCTCTTCCATCAATGAAATGTATATCAATAATACAACATGGCCGTAGGAACCGCGGGCACGGGGGGGGGGGGGGGGGGGATTTTGCCGATATATAGCATACTATAGAAAATATAGCTACTATATGCTTATGCTCCCTCAATTTTTTTTTTTTTTTTTTTTTTTTTTGCTTGTCAAGGAATTTTGGTAGTTGATAGTGCCCCCTCAAAGTGAAATTGCTTCCTACGGGCCTGTACAATATTTAATCTTAGTCCTATTTAAACTGATTATTTTACAGAGAATAAAATGTCTTTCTTTGTTAGTACAGGAATTATTGTGGCAGCTATTGCAGAAAAAATTACATAACCCGCTTACGCTTGCAACTCTTTTAAGTACTCTCTTTTTATGTATCAGTCGAAAACGATATATTTAAAAACAGCTTATAGAGAAAAAAAGGGTTACATTTTCAATAACATAAAGTGCATATTAGAATACAAAATTAGGAAAAAGGTGACTTAATCTCAGATTTAATAAGGAAAAAAAATGGAAAAAGGGGGTCCATACCCCAAGTGCCTGTAGACAAGATGTAAATGATCTTGTTATGAGTTGTCTGGTGTAGAGATTAGCGTGTGAGTCTCTGTAAAAAAAACCCCTCAAATCTCAGGATTTTAATCGTTGGATTCAAATCTCAAGAAATACTTGTTTTTTTCAACGTAAAATAATTTTTGCTGTAGGATTTTTTCCGCAGAAAAAATTTTGTTTTTAATTTATACTTTCAAAATTAGAACTTAGCTCTGACTACTTAATTCACAAACTGAATTTGATTTTAATACATTCGAAGCTATAGGCATTTTGCACGCTTTGGTTGTCCTTCTTCTTCCAATTTTTTTGTTCCATATACAAGGCACTGAATTAATTTTGAAAAAGGAAGGGATTGTTCAAATTTGAGGGAAAAAATGTGTTTGCGATTTCAGAAGAAACTATTTGCCTGAGAAATTCATTCATTCATACTTTATTTTCACTTTACAGTGATTAATGAACATTATACAAAAAATATGCAAAAAGAATAACATACAAGTTCAAAATACATATCATATTCGTACTCAAGAGAAAGTGAAATGCATGTGTAAATTTATAGAAAAATGAAATATTTACAAAAGTTGTGATCATTATTTATATATACACATCATATCCAAATGTCTCTGTGTGATATCGCAAACAAAATGAAATTGAGTTTATATATATTTATTTACATTTTCAAATGTCTCTGTGTGATATCACAAACAAAATGAAATTGAGTTTATATATATATTTATTTACATTTTCAAATGTCTCTGTAGATGAAACTATAAATAAAGAAATAGTTTTTATTAACTTGATACAGTTATTTGATCTTTACGTGGTGAAACTGCCTTCTTGCTGTTTGTGGCATAGTAATAGACTGGATGGAGCTTGCAGACTTAAATTTCTAGTTCTTGAAAAAAAAGTAAATATCTCAAGACATTTATTATCGAATCAAACATCAGCTAAAAATGTAAATATAAGGAAAAACTTTTTATTTGGTTTTATGCTGTTGGTCAATAGAATCTTAAAGTGATATCTTTACTTTTAAACGCCTTTGGCGTCGATTTAAATTATCACCTTGATCACATCATAAAACTAAAAAAAACTAGACAATTATTCCTGAAATTTATATGAAATTAAAAACAAGAGGCCCATGGGCCACATCGCTTACCTGAGCACTTTGGCCAAGAATAAGCAGAAATCAGTACAGTATTGAAATGTTTAAAATAATATAAAAGTAGTGCAAGGGGGGGGGGGGGGTATGAACAAACTTGAATCTAAACTTTGATCGGCCATTGTGGCGTCACTCTACCTCCAGGGGTCATGATTTGAACAAACATGAATCTACACTATCTGATGATGCTTCCATAATAATATGACTAATCAAGACTTTTTAACGATTTAAAAATTAGCTTATAACGCGCTATGAATAGGCCTGGTCACTGTATTCAGAAAAAACTAAAATGTATTGATTAAAGCACAAAATTTTACAGCTTCAATTATATTTGAGCAATACCTTATTCATTAATTTTCTCTTTTCATGTAAGCAGGTTTATTACGAAGTACAGATTGTATTTCGGGTTCGTTGCCAAGATGCTCTCAGTGAGGAATATATACAAATTTTACCGATAAATTTATTAGGAAAACCTACTACATATATGTAATAGTCTTTCGATATATAAATATATTCACAATTAATAGTGTTAATAATGATTTACCATTATTTCAAATATATTTATATAGTCTTTCGATGTATAAATATATTCACAACTAATAGTGTTATTAATGATTTACCATTATTTCAATGACCATTCACACCAGTTTTTTTATGTTCATGCAGCTATAATCGCCTCGTTTTTCTTTTTAACATTGGGCTTGATGCCAGACGATGTTCTAGAAGCTTCCGTCAATATTAAGATCGGTGAATGACGAAAATAATTTGCACATTTCCCTTTTTAATCGGTTATCACAACTTATTTCTTTTATATAAATTATATCAAGTTTTGATTGAATAATTCACTGATGACGTTTTATGAAATACATAAACGATTGCTTGTTGTCAGTTTCATTAAAAAATAGCCAGTAACTTACATGTAGATCCGCCAACCGGAACCGCTACCGTACTCACGTTTTTGCTATTTCATGGCTGTTTATAGAAAATGAAAGTAGACTTTTAATTTAATGTACGATACTTACATGTACCATGCGAATGAAATCTAAATATAGTTTACGGACATCATTTTGTATCTAGTGTATTCTAAGAGGAATAAGTAAGAACTCTGGTAATTTATTAGTTTATAAGTATAGATGTAAAACTTTGATCGGCCATTATGGCCCCACCTTACCCCCAGGGGTCATGTTTTGAACAAACTTAAATCTACACTACCAGAAGATGCTTCCATAAAAGTTCCGCATTTTTTGTCCCGTTGGTTTTTGAGGAGAAGATTTTTAAAAGATGCCATTAATTTTTCACTAATTTTGAAGAAGGTGTGGCCCATTTGAACAAACTTAAATCCCCAGTACCCAAGGATACTTCTTGGCAAGTTTGGTTGAAATTGGCACAGTGGTTCTTTAGAAGATGTGAAAAGTCGGACAGACAGACAGACGGCGCCGGTGTCGCATAATTTACGTTCCGGATACTTCGCGTTCCGGCCGGAACCTTAAAATCATAATATTGGTTCCGGATTTTACTGTAAGTTTGGTTCCGGCCATGGCTGCAATCTTCGAATCGCGGTATCTCTCAATTATTATCTGCCACATGTGCCAGTTTTCATTCAACACTGAACCATAGAAGTAGTTTTTACCTTGAGGATTAAGCATGGCGTAGCGGTATGCCATTTTCATGTGGCGCAATGTTCTTTTTATAAGGCGTCATGCCCTTTTTGTACAGCCATTTTTAAAAATAAATGAACAACTGATGAATAAATAGCCCAAGTAAAGATCGTAAAATATGCTTTCTGATACATATACACCGAATAAAATTTGGTCGCATGAAAGGCTTTGTTTATCTAATGCATACAAATTAAGTCCCTTTGTTTATTTAGTGCATGTCAGGTGTGAATTTCTCGATAAATAAACGCAGACCCGGGTAAAGAGGATAGAAGATAAACTAGACTGAGATTACAAAAGCCTAAAAAGAAGCACAATGTCAAAGATAAATTTGATCAGTAGATTTTAATTTTATAATCTGATAAAGTAAAGAATTAAATACAAAATGGTATAATTGTATACGACTGAGAGATGCATTCTCTGTTTAAATGATATTACAAGTGTTGCAAATTCCACAATGTTGAGCCTCGAATACATGGCTTCCATTCCTCATAGATATTATCACTTGGCATGAAAATATGATTTATATTCCATTAGAAATAAACAAACATAAAAAATATAATTCACTGATGAAGATAGTTATATAGTTTTTGTGATAAATTAACAATGGATATTTCATGAATATGTGGTTTATTCTGCAATGAAACAAACATGAAAACATA